ACCGTCGACTCGACCCCAAGAGGGACGGACAAGGGACCGACGACGACGACGACGACGACGACGGCGACGACGACGACGGCGACGACGACGACGAGCGAAAGCGAGAGCGAAAGAGAACGACAGCAGGGCCACAAGGGCACGAAGTAGGCCACGAAGGGCAACAGCAGGGACACGAAGGGAATGCGTATGGGGCCACGAAGAGCGCGAACGAGCGGGGGCCACGAAGGGCAGATAATGCGGGGCCACAGAAGGCAACGATGGGGCCATTGAGGGTAGCAACTGGGCCGCGTAGGACAGATGCATATGGAGCCACCACGGGCGCGAACGAGCGGGGGCCACGAAGGGCATACACATATGGGGCCACGAAGGGCAGCGAGGGGGCCACGAAGGGCTGCAACGGGGCCACGAAACAAAGCGAGGGGGCCACGAAGGGCTGCAACGGGGCCACGAAGGGCTGCGACGGGGCCACGAAGGGCAGCGAGGGGGCCACGAAGGGCTGCAACGGGGCCACGAAGGGCAGCGAGGGGGCCACGAAGGGCTGCAACGGGGCCACGAAGGGCAGCGAGGAGGCCACGAGGGGCTGCAACGGGGCCACGAAGGGCAGCGAGTGGGCCACGAAGGGCTGCAACGGGGCCACGAAACAAAGCGAGGGGGCCACGAAGGGCTGCAACGGGGCCACGAAGGGCAGCGAGATCGCGATTCCTATGTAATATGTGCGCGATTCCTGGGTGCCTGGGTGTCGGGAGCGCGGCGCTTGAGTAAATTGCAGGAAATTCCAACGCAAGGGCGCTATTCTTCAGTTAGTTGCAAGCAAGTCTCTAGCGAGAGCGCGAATCCAGAGCGCCGGGATCGCAAATTCGAAGGAAGTCCCAAGCGAGAGCGCGATTCCTGAATAAAACGCGAGGAAGTCTCGGGCGGGAGCGGGGGTCCTGGCTAAATTGTGAGGAGGTCTCAGGCGGGAGCCGTTGTTGTTGTAAACCGGGTGCCAACGACAGAGTTTGACCTTCAAGATTTTCCCTTCTTAAAAACAGGGTGCGAGCCCCGGGAAGGGCACGTCAATCGAACAAAAAAAATGTGCACCGGACGGGGGGGATCATCAATACTTATTTTTTCAGAAATGAGAGTTCAACAACAACAACAACAACAACAACAACAACAACAACAACAACAACAACAACAACTACTAGCACGTGGGGACACTCCGTTCTCACCACTGCCAGGGTTTTCATAGGAGGCGGGCAATACCCCCACTTTGTGGGGGGGCCGGTTCAAGCTCTACCAAATTTCCAAACGACTCTTCGCCACCACCCACACCCAGCTTCCCGCCCTATGACGTTCGGACACTTCACTTCGTGGCATGCGGACGACCGTGGCTACTATTCAGGGCCCCGCGGCCGACGACGACGGCGTGCGCGCGCGAAGAAAAAACGAATGTGTCCCGCATGGTATTATTTGACAGGGATGATGGCCCTGGCAGGTGCGCAACCGTTGTTGCAGAAGTTCGAAAAAGTTGCTCGCAAAAGCCCGTTTGACAGAAATGTTTAAAAAGTGTTGGGTTTCCTACGAATCCGCAAGAGCGCGCGGGATGAAATTTTGACATTTTTTTTTGAAAAACCATTGGTTTTTTATGTTTTTATGTTAAAATCGCTACGAAAACTAAGGTTTTGGAAGGATTTCGTCTTGCGCGCGCGAATGTCCACTTTACCTTATTTTTTGCAAGGGATTCTTGAAGTTTGGTTATGTTAGAACAAGAAATGTCCACTTTAGCTTATTTTTTGCAAGGGAAAACCATCGTAACAACACAACCGGATCCGGATGACATCCGTTTTGCCTGAGACTTCCTCACGAAAATGATGAAAATGAGGCTGCGGCCTAGGCGCGGCGGGGGGGCCATGCACCAGGGGCCCCAACAATAATTATTCTTTAGAAGTAATAATGTTCAACAACAACAACAACAACAATTACTAGCACGTGGGGACACTCCGTTCTCACCAGTGCCAGGGTTTTCATAGGAGGCGGGCAATACCCCCACTTTGTGGGGGGGCCGGTTCAAGCTCTACCAAATTTCCAAACGACTCTTCGCCACCACCCACACCCAGCTTCCCGCCCTATGACGTTCGGACACTTCACTTCGTGGCATGCGGACGACCGTGGCTACTATTCAGGGCCCCGCGGCCGACGACGACGGCGTGCGCGCGCGAAGAAAAAACGAATGTGTCCCGCATGGTATTATTTGACAGGGATGATGGCCCTGGCAGGTGCGCAACCGTTGTTGCAGAAGTTCGAAAAAGTTGCTCGCAAAAGCCCGTTTGACAGAAATGTTTAAAAAGTGTTGGGTTTCCTACGAATCCGCAAGAGCGCGCGGGATGAAATTTTGACAATTGTTTTTGAAAAACCATTGGTTTTTTGATGTTTTTATGTTGAAATCGCTACGAAAACTATGGTTTTGGAAGGATTTCGTCTTGCGCGCGCGAGTGTCCACTTTACCTTATTTTTTACAAGGGATTCTTGAAGTTTGGTTATGTTAGAACAAGAAATGTCCACTTTAGCTTATTTTTTTTGCAAGGGAAAACCGATCGTAACAACACAACCGGATCCGGACCAACCCGTTTTGCCTGAGACTTCCTCACGAAAATTATGAAAATGAGGCTGCGGCCTAGGCGCGGCGGGGGGGTCGTGCACCAGGGGCCCCAACAATAATTATTCTTTAGAAGTAATAATGTTCAACAACAACAACAACAACAACAACAACAACAACAACAACAACAACAACAACAACAACAGCAGCAGCAGCAGCAGCAACAACAACAACGGCTCTCCCGCCTGCTATCCCCTGACAATGTATAGTACAAAATCGCGATCTCGCGCGGGATTCCATCACCATGTATGGCCGAATCGCGCTCTCGCGTGGGACCTCGCAGTTTATTCAGACGCCGCGCCCTCGACACCCAGGAATCACGCTCTCGCTCTGGCCTTTCTCACGATTGATTTGGGAGTCGCCCTATCGCTCGAGCTTTCCTCGCCATTCATGCAGGGCACGCTTCAGCAATCCGCCTGTTCGACCTGGCCGCCTGGACCCGCCTTCCCGACCCGCCCCCTAGGGTCTGCCCGCCCGATCTGCCCGTAATTGTCTGCTCCTAGCCCCCCTCCTGTTAATTTCTCTCGTGCTCCATCCTGCTCCCTTCGCCTTGCCCCTTCCTTTCATCCGTTCCCTTTTCCCCTGCCTTGGGGGCTGCACGAAAGACACGTCGCAGGTGAGAAAGAGATGCCCCTGAAGGGGCACGATCGAAGACGAAGAGGGCGGGTATCGAGGGTTTGGGATTTACGTGTTGAACGGCACGCGAGCAGACAGGAGCGAACCGTAGCATAATGATTGTTGTTGTAGTTCGGGGGCCAACGACGAAATCTGAGCCTCAACACTTCCCCCAGACAAAAACACGGTGCGAGCCCCGAGAATCGGCACTTCGATTGAAAAACTAAATGGGCACTGAAGGAGAGTGCATCTTCATTTTGATATTGTTCGTTATTATGCGTTCCTGCCTGTGTCAACCAACATGTAGACCCAAACCCTCGATACCCGGCCTCTTCGTCTTCGGTCGCACCGAGGTCTATCTCTTCCTTATTTGCCACGTATCATTGGCGCAGACCCCAAAAAAGAGGAAGAGGAAGGAGACCAGAAAAAAAAGATGAGAAACAAACACAAACAACACAACAAAACAAAAACAACAGCACGTCCCGATTATGCATATACGTGTATATGCATAGACAGATACACATCTATATGTATTGCGAAACAGAAAGAGTGCGGGAAGGGAGGGAGGAGGGAAGGAGCAAGGAGGAGGGAGAAGGATGGAACACGAGAGAGATTAGCAGAACGGGGGTTAGGAGCAGTAAGATAAGCGGCAGAGCCAGACGGGCGGGTCGAGCGGGTTGACCTTGACAGGCGTGTCGGACGGATGAGCCCAGACGGCCGGGTCGAGGTTGGGTCGCTGACGTTTGAGTCCTGCACGAATCGCGACTAAGTCTCGAGAGATAGGGAGGGAGTCCAGGGCGAGAGCGTGATTCTTGAGTGTCGGGGGCGCGGTGCTGGAACAACTTAGGAGGGAGTCCCTCGCGAGCGCGCGATTCCTGCACGAATTCGCAGGAAGCCAGGCGCGAGGCCTCGATTCTGAATAAGTTGTGAGGTTGTGCGCTGCTTCGCGCTACATTGTTGTGTTTCCCTTATGGATAATCGCTCGGCGTTGCTTTGAGCTTGTGTGTGTGTGTGTTTGCATGCCGGATGCGCCGCTCTGTCGTGCCTTGCCGTATCTCGTCTGCTCTGCGGTGTTCCACGTCGATGCTATCCATCATTAGCACTCGGTGTATTTGGGGTCGCGATGGGGACTAATAGTTGTACGATCTGCCTGACTTTGCAATGCGTTGGCCGAGGGTGGTTCTACATCTAGTTTTGAGGTGGCAATGGTTCCGTTGCCCAGCGTGGTCTGAACGACGACGACGGCATCAGCGGCAGCAACGAAAAATGGTCGGGACGTCGGAAGCGACGGCGACGCCCGGATCTCAGGATCTCAGGGTCCCCCTCCTCCCAATCTTCCCCTTCCCCCCACATCCCCCCCCCTCCGACGACGGAGACGACGACAACGACGACCAGGCAGGCTTCCCAGCTGAGCTTTCTGGCTTGTGTTTCGCTGTCAGATCTTGGAGAATCGCAGCGGAGGGCGTTTCGTCATCATCACCAACCTCAACACCATTGTCATCATCTCCTTCTCCATCATCACCATCACCGTCTTTCTCATCACAATCGCCATCATCATTTTTCTCCTCCGCCGACGACGAAGAACGACGACGACCACGACGACTCCGACGACGACGACGACGACGACGACGAAGACGACCACGATCACGACCACGACCACGACCACGACCACGACCACGACCACGAGGACGACGACGACGACGACGACGACGACGACGACGACGACGACGACGACGACAACGACCAGGCACTGCCTCTTCGACGTCCCGGGCCGCCGGGAGCACGAGGCCAGGCGCCGGGCCGCCGCGGCGGAGCTGCGGCAGGTGGCGCCGAGCCTGCGGGCGGCGGTGGAGGAGGCGCGCTGGCCGCCGCCGCCGCCGCCGCCGCCGCTGGCGACGACGACGACGACGACGACGACGACGACGACGACGACGACGACGACGACGACGACGACGACGACGACGACTACAGCGACGGCGACGGCGGAGGCGGCAGCGGCGGCGGCGGCGGCGGCGGCGGCGGCGGCGGCGACGACGACGACGACGACGACGACGACGACGACGACGACGACGACGACGACGAGGGCGGCGGCGGCGACGACGACGACGACGAGGGCGGCGGCGGCGACGTCGGCGGCGACGGCGGCTGCGTCGTCCGCGTCGGCGGCGACGAGCCGACAGCGACGGCGGGCCGGCGGCGGCGGCGGAGGAGGCGCGGCGGCCGCCGGGTCCCTACCCCGCCGCCGCTTCGTCCGCCTCTTCCTCGAGTCCTCGAGCCCTCCAGGTTCGAGGGATCGAGGGTCGAGGATTCGAGGGTCGAGGGCTCGAGGGTTCGAGGGGTCGAGGGCTCGGGGGCTTGGAGGATCGAGGGCTTTGAGAATCGAAGGGCTCGAGGGTCTGAGGATCTCCATTCGGAAGCTGCGCAGGGCAAGGCAACGCAGAGCGGCTCACGACAGAGCCATGCAGCGAGAGCAGTGCAAAGCAGGTCGGTGAATACTAAGTTAGCCAAAGCGAAGCAGTTCCAAGCACTGCAACGCAATGCACCGCCAGGCCACGCAAAGCGTAGCTAGCCAGGTGCCTACTGCGAGTCCGCCACCATGCCAGCTCAGCACTCTGGACTGTGAAGCTTCGAGAGCCGAAGGCCGCCGCGTGTGGCACCTCTCGCGTCCACTTCGCAAGGAGCTCTCCTGGAACTTGTTCGGGCCACCGTGGGGCTGTCTTGGGCTCCCGTGGGACACTCCTGGCGGTCCCTTGAGGCTACAGTGAGCGGCTTGAATAAGGAACACTTACTTTTCAAAAGGGGCTCGGTCGTTCCTTAGGCTTGCACGCGTTATTTACAGTTCCTTATGCGTTATTTGTTATTTATCGCTCCTTATGCGTTATTATTCCTTGGGATAGAAACGGGGCTTCGTTCCTTATTTGTCGTTCCTTAGGTCAGGCCGATGACTGTATCTTGCAGCCGTCCTGAGGCTTTCTTGAAGCCCCCTTGGCGGCCGTCTCGGGGTTGTCTTGGCCGTTGGGGAGGTCTCTTACGGTCGTTTGGGGCCCCCTTCGGCCATTTTGGGCCTCTCCTGGCCTCCAAGGGCCCCCTTCGGACAGTTTGGGGCTCTCTTGGGGCCGTCTGGGGGCGTTGTCGGGGCTCTCAGTGGGCCCTGTGAGGCCTTCGAAGACCGCAGATGGGCTGATCATGGACCGAAGAGCGCAGAAAGCGACACGCATTGAAACATGTTGGGGGAATCTATGTTTTTGGCTTGTCGGAAGCTTCCCAGAGTCCATGAGACCTCTAGGAGGCCTCTTAGGATATATGTTGCGTTTCCTTGGCGCTGGCGAGCGCCTCTTAGGGCAAGATTCGAGTAGGAGGTCGAAACAGACATGTCCTGGCACCAAACATGTTTGTTTTTTTCCTGGCGCATCTGCGAAACACACGTGGCATGCGCCGTAGAGGTCTACGGAGCATGCGACGACTTGTTCGTATATTCGACGGACGAACATCGATCAAGGGAGGAAAAACCACCCGGACCGGACAGTTGGCGTTTACCAAACGGCCTCGGGCGTTTACCAAACAGCCCTGCCTTGTTTGATTCCTTCTCTGGGCGCGCTTGCGAAACGGCTTCGCGTGCCGGGGTGGTTGTTATCGGGGTGGGTTTTCCGCCCTCTGAGAGAATCTGGGGCCTCCTCCTCCTCCTCCTCCTCCTCCTCCTCGTCAGTTCTGGAGTCGGCCTCCTGCTTGACCCATGGGGCCGTCGGTGGCGGCCTCGGCGGACCTCCTCGGCGGGCCGCGGGGGCCTCGGACGGCCCCTGGGCGCCGGGGAGGCGGGACCACGGCCACGGGAGCCTCGGGGAGGGGTTGGGGCACGCACGCGGAACTGCGGAGGAGGAGGAGGAGCAGGAGGAGGAGGAGGAGGATCAGGAGGAGGATCAGGAGGAGGAGGAGGATCAGGAGGATCAGGAGGAGGAGCAGGAGGAGGAGAAGGAGGAGGAGGATTGAGTCGGGCGTGTCCCTTTACAGGAGGAGTACTCACAGATAGTCCAAAGACCGTCTGGGGACGATGTGTCTATCATTTGTCATGTGTTGCTTGAGTATTGTTTGACTATGTTTAGGTTTTCGTCCAAAATCCGCCTGTAGGGGGACATGCCCGACTTCAGAGGAGGAGGAGGAGGAGGAGGAGGAGGAGGAGGAGGCGGAAAAAGAAGATGAGGAGGAGGAGTGGGTAGAGGGGGAGTCCATTCAGAAGGCTCCACAGGCCCTACCAGACAGCACTTGGCATCCTACAGCGCCTCAGCGTGCCAGGTGGCACGGTGGCGGATTCGAAGGAAAAACATTGCAGCACAATGCAAAGCAATGCAGCACAAAGCAAGGCATCGCAGAGCCATGGAAAGAAGTGTGGACCAACGCCAAGGAGAATAGCGCAAAGCAGAGCGGAGAGAGGAGCGTTCAAGGAACCCTGAGGAGTCCGAGGAGCCCCCAAGGATTCCTTCGGGCCCCGGCGGGACGATCGGCACTCGCCGCCAGATCTCTGGCACAGACTCAGTTGAGAGCCTCACAGGGCAAGGCCTGATTGCGGAAAACCAGCGAGGCCGTGCTGCCAGCAGGCTGGATACACCTGACGCGGCCAGCATGAGCGAGACCTGGATACAGAGGCCGGGCGCCCCGGAAGGGGCCCCGCCTGCGAGGATCGGAGCAGCTGGCATCTCCTCCCCGGCGGAAGCTGGCGGCAGTGGAAAGCGGCCCTCCAATGGATGCCAACGTACTTCTCCACTACACGTTAGAGTGACCCTTCGCCGGAGTGACCTGTGGTGCGGGCCCATTGGGGCCTCCCGATCGCCGAACGAGATGCAATAGGTAGCGTCTTGCGCGGTTTGTGTGTGTTGGTCTTCCCGCAGTCCCCCCAAAAGCGGCACACCAGAGGCCACTCCTTACCCAGGGTCATTCTTGCGTATACAGTGAGCGGCTTGAATAAGGAACGCTTACTTTTCAAAAGGGGCTCGGCCGTTCCTCAGGCTTGCACGCGTCATTTGTCGCCCCCTATGCGTTAGGTATTGTCTGTGCATCGTTCCCTATGCGTTATTCCTTGGAAGAAAGGGGCTTCGTTCCTAACTTATCGTTCCTGAGGTCAAGCCCCCGACTGTAGCCGAACTTCGGCTCCGGGCTCCTGGAGCCCGCCCTGTGGCCTGATTGCCGTTCCCGCGCTCTCGGCCCCTCCGTGGCCGGGCCCGGCGGCCCCCCGCGCGTGAGAAATCCAGCGAGGGGGCCTCCGCACGTCGCGCGCGCGCGTGGGCCCAGCCGGGCGTGCGTGCCCAGCAGCCTGCGGGCCCCTGTCGGTTTCGGAAGGCACCTCAAAAAAAAACAACAAAAAAAACAAAAAGTTTCGGAAGGCACCCCTGCGGCGCAGAGCCTCTCGCACCTCACGCGCTCGCTCGCCGAGGGCCGTCTTTCCATCCGCGCAAGGGGGGGGCGAGACCGTGGATGAGCTGGCCCGCTTCTTCCTCTGACTTCGAGGGCGTTCGGGCATCGTGTCGCAGACCTCTCCAGCCGAGCACGCCGCCGTGCAGGCCAACGGCAGGTGCGATGGCCGCTACCTCGGTGCGCACGGTCGCACCACTCGTCTCGCTGTCAGGCGTTCGACTGTACAGCGTATGCCCGATCAGGAGGTATCTCGTTCCTTCAAGAGTACTGTCGGCGACATGAAGTCAGGACCCCCGTCGGAGTGTCCTGCACACTCGGGAATCCCGCACCGCGCGGCTCTGCGCCAGGTCTGCGCGCTCTCGGAGCTGGCGGACCTCGCGGAGCAGGCGGCCCACGAGCTGGACGAGCTCGAAGGGGACATGCAGGTGCTCAACGCGCAGGCGGGCGGCAGGGGTGCGCAGCGTGGACCCTTCCTGGCGGGCCTCCTCCTCGTGCCCATGTCCCTCCTCCCCTTCCTCATCCTCCCCCCTCTCTTCAACCTCCTCTTCATCCCCCCCCCCATCCTCCTCCTTGTCCCCCTTTCTCCGCTTCCTCCGCCTGTTTCCCCCCCGGCCTCCTCATTCCCCCCCTTCTCTCCTGCCCTCTCTGTCGTGCTCGTGCCGCTGCGTCCCCCCTCGTGGGCTCGTGTTCCCCTCTTCGCATTCCTCCTCGTCCTCCTCCTCCTCGTCCTCCTCCTCCTCCTCGTCCTCCTCCTCCTCCTTATCCTCCTCCTCCAGTTTTTGTGCTCAAGGCAAGTCTGGCTGTCAGCTGTCTTGCCGCTTCCCGCGGGCAGTCCGCCGTGGCCCATTGCAGAAACGGCCAAACGTGGGGCAAGCGGCTGCGCCTCGCGCGTGCTTGAGCATGATGAGGAGATGGCACAGCCAAATGTCCCATCGGGCGAGGTGACCAAGGCAGATGTGATGAAGTATGCGATGAGCATGAACAGCCCTGTGGGTGGCCGTATCGAGAAGGAAGGGGCGACCTTAGAGAAGGTAGACTTGAAGCAGCTGGGGCGACAGAGGCGACAAGGAGAGCAGAGAAGATGGCGACTGAGGCGATGAGACTGGCCCAGCCAGTTGCGGCAAGCTCGCGGCCTGCGAGCTTCGCACCCACTGCGGCAACAGCGCCCCATGGTCGTGTTGCACCACAGCGAGATGGTGTCTCCAGGTTGTGATTGGTTGTTTCCCTGGCGCTTCTGGGAAGGATGGGGTGATGTCGTATCTTGAGAAGGTCGCCTCCTTGGCTGGCCCCTGCTTGTATTACGAGGAAATGGTGCGCGTCTCCTGGTACTCATGCTGCCTTCGATCTGCAGAACGATCGTACTGTATGGGTCCCACTGGGGAAGCATCGTGACTGCGTTGAAAGGGGCAATTTCGTGGGTTCATATGGAGGAAGAGCGTTATACGTTCCTGCTTATAGTGGAGCAGGTGGCCTTCCACTCCCTGGTCTCAAGCGTTGGGTGAAGAAGCACCAGACGATGGAGCAGCGTCAGGTCACGTCGACCTTAGTAGACATACGCGGTGACGTCGGCGGTTGGAGCTGTTCAGAATTTACTGGCCAGCAATTCGGCACAAACAAAGCAGCTGTCGAGACATCTTCGTTGGCCGCGACTTCCAGAGGAGACGGGCGAATCGCGCGCTCGAGCTGTTCGGAAGTAAACCACCAGCATCAAGAAATAGAAGGGGATAGTTTATTTTGATGCGATTACATGGAGAAGACTGCAGGGATATGCCGTGCACGGTGCTAGAAGAGCATATAAGAATCCGGATTCCGTCTTGTCCTATGTTCTTCTCTGGAATTGTCAGCCGCATGCCGTTCGGGGAAAACGGGAGGGACAAAATCAGGGGTTCCAGAAATTCTCGTGGCAGAGGATTTGGGGATATCAGTTCGTTCCTTTTACATTGCCCCAAGGAGACTGATTGGACCGAGCTTGCCCAGGATCGAGGTGGATGGCGTTAGAGCGAGGTTGAGTATATCACATGGGGACCAGGAGAGAGCGGTGGAAGGGCCTCCTTTTGAGTCTGCATGCGTGTAGTCGTCGTTGTAGCGTCCCCGTCCTCTTCCTCTGAGCGATGCCGCCGTCGCTGCCGCTAAGCTTCTCGCTTTTCGTGCTGTTTCGCTTCATGGACAGCTGGACGATCTCATCTCTCAGAGTTGCCCACCACCACCACCACCACCACCACCACCACCACCACCACCTCCTCCTCCCCCCCCCCCCAATCATCCCTCGCAGCCAACTCTTCCCTGTCGCACCGCCAGACGCGTCGGCAGAGTGGGCCGCCGGGTGTTTTGAGATTTCCTCGCAACTTAGGATATCGAAGTCTGGCGTGTCCAGAACCGGCACGAGTGGAACACAGGTGGCTTTGAGAATGGGGTTCTCGTTCGGGGGTCCCGCACACGTCGCTTCAACGATGCACTTAGACGGGCGGAGGGCGGTTCTTATCAAAAGGGGGCCCCTGGTTGGGACATCGTTTCATTGCATGGCCCGACCCGAAATTCTCAAGATTGTGCAACCAGTCCACGGGTGGGGGGTGTGAGTAAAAAACGATTGGGAGTTGCGGAGCACGAACACGGACGGAGGCACATCCGTTCGAAACCTCATTTTCCGCTGAAGATATACTTGAAGATTCTGGCCTACGTCTTTGCACTTGTGATGGCCGGGAGGGTGGGAGGAGGGATACTTTCAGAAGGAGGTCTCGCAGGAATGGCAGACCACGGGGCGTTCGTCTGTCAAGAAGGGCCCGTCCCGCACCGGGAAAGGAAAAGCGCATCATCTCATGAGGAGAGGGACTTGGGACGACCGCTGCGTGATTCCCTTGCCTTGGGAGCTGCCGTTGCGGACCTCCCGCCGGTGGACTTGGAAATACGGGAGGTCCGCATGGATTACTGGCTCTTGAGGAACGGCTAATGCTAGCGCAGGAGTTCTGCGGGAGGGTCCCCCCACCCGTCCCCTTTCCGGGGGGAACCGCCCTCCCGTCGGCGAACCATATATCATCATTCACCTACGGCTGCGGCGGCCACGGAGTTGCGGCGTTTCAGTATCTGGTGCCATGATTCGCGCGATTTCGAGAGAGTTGGCTCCAGCGATCTTGGGCCGCTGAAGGTTTTATTGTTCTTGGCCCCGACGGCTTGTTTGTCTAGTGGCCTTCGGCCCATGCCGCCACCGTGCCTGGGTTGGGGGTCAGAGTCCTCAGGGCTGCGGATTGGGGTCTCTTCGGAGCGCTCTCGGGGGGGGCTCTTGGGGGCTCCAGAGCTTCTTGGGAGCCTCTTGGGGGCCTCCTGGTGGCCCCTTTGGAACCTTTTGAGGCCTCCTGGGGGCCCCGTGGCGTCGAGGCCTCGAAAAGTCCATGCAGGTTCCCCGTCGGGGCCCCCACTTGGGGGCCTCTCGGGCCGTGGTGGGGGCGTCTTGGGGCGTTTGGGGGCCCGCTTCGGCCTCCTTGGTGCCGTTTTAGGGGCCTCCTGGGCAGTCTTGGGGCCACCTTGGCGGCCTCGTGCGCCGTCCTGAGCGTCGGAAAGCCGAGAAGGCGGGAACACCAAGATCCAAAACCAATGAATGTTGTTTCTTGGCGTCCTATCGGGAGGCCTCTTCGGGCGCCTTGGGTGCATCTTGGGCCGTCCTGGGGGCCATCTCAGGCGTCTCGGACCGATCGTGCGGCGATGCGGGACCCTCTTGGACCGCCTTAGGGGCCTGTTGGGACCCTCTTCTGTCCAAGGCCTACCTTTTCCTGTGCAAGCTCTTCAGCACCGCCTGCACCCCGCGCCCTCCGGCCGCCTGAGGCCCCGCCCGCCTGCGCCCTGTCTCCCCAGTTAGTGCTTTGCGCGGCCCGCCTAGCTCTTAACCGGAAGAGGCCAATCCTTTTCCCGAAGTTACGGATCTATTTTGCCGACTTCCCTTACCTACTTTCTTCTATCGACCAGAGCTCGCTCTCGACCCGCAGACCAAAAAGCTGGGACCCTCTCGGTCCGTCCTGGGGCCCCCGTGGGCACGAGAGAGGCGTGCGGGAGGGCGCCGGGATCCCCAGGGGCCACGCGGCGCGCCCCGCAGATGGATGCCTTTTTGGGGGCCTGGGCCCCCGTAGAGAATCGGGGGTGGACAGAGCCCCTGCCCGGACACGTCGATTGGTGAGTTGTCCGCTTTCGGTTTTCGAGAGGGCGCCGCGGCCGTCCTTTTCCAGGTTTGCGCCCGCCAGGTCTGGGCCCGAGGTCGTTTTCACTAGGCCACGTTTTGCTAGAGGGGGTTCTGTCCATCCCCGAAGGAATCCTCAGGATTGAGGACGGAGGCGCCAAGGGATGCAACAACGGACCTGAAGACACCCCAGCTCGTGCCTCAAGGGCGCGGTGGCGACAGTTCTTGGATTCACACCAACGCGGATCTCCCCCACGCGGTTCCACTGCAGGAGGTCCTGTCCGGCGGATTCACAGGGTCTCGACAACCCCCTTCCTGGCCCAAGGCAGAGAAAACAGGCGCAAAAAGCAGAAGCTGCCCGCGCAAGGGTCGCGCGTGAGCACCCTCGTTCTCGCTGTGGCGTGCAGCGCCGGCGGCCCGCATGAGCAGCCGCGCATGTGAGGCATGCCTCTCTCCGTCGCCCGTCTGGCCGAGGGCGGCGCCCTGGCGCCGACGAGAAGGAAGACGGCACAAGACCTGCCCTGCGAGGGCATGGTCGGTGCCGATCTCTCTTCCTCTGCGGCGGCCCCCGCCGCGCACGCCGCGGGCGGGACCATGGCCGAGCGCGCCGCGGTGCGGCGGCTGCGGCCCGCGGCCCTGTCGCCAGTGGAGGAGGCCGACCCGCCGGAGGGCCCCGCGACGGCGCCCGCGGCCCCGGCGCCTCTGGGGGAGGCCGACACGCCCGGGGCCATGGCGTCGACGCGGGAGGCCAGGTGGACGGGGCAGGCGCCGGCGGCGGGCGCCTCGGGCGTTTCGTAATGGGGGGGCGAGCACAACGGACCCCCTCGAGTCGTGAGAAAGTCACGGCGGGGGGCTTTCCGCTATTTCCCTCTCTCCTCCTCCTCCTCCTCCTCCTCCTCCTCCTCCTCCTCCTCCTCCTCCTCTCCTCCTCCTCCTCCTCCTCCTCCTCCTCCTCCTCCTCCTCCTCCTCCTCCTCCTCCTCCTCCTCCTCCTCCTCCTCCTCCTCCTCCTCCTCGTCCTCCTCCTCCTCCTCCTCCTCCTCCTCCTCCTCCTCCTCCTCCTCGTCTCGTCCTCCTCCTCCTCCTCCTCGTCCTCCTCCTCCTCCTCCCTCCTCCTCCTCCTCCTCCTCCTCCCTCCTCGTGAAAAATCACGGCGGGAGGCTTTTCGCTATTTTGGGATTCCAGGGGCCTTCCTGCTGTGGCTCGCATTCGCTGGCCTGTGTCTCTATCGGTGTCGACGAGCGATGCGACCGAGATCTCGCGTGGGTCCTGCTCC